GGGGGGCACAACTCGTCAACGGCACAGTGTGCCATATCGTATACCCACCCAAAATACGCGAACTGGGAGAGGAGCCTGCGCACCAGCCCGCACAGCGGCTGGGTGAGCCCGGTGGTCTTGCAGTGCGGCAGGCCGTACACGCCCTGGTGCTGGCCGCCGAGCGACACCAGGACCTTCATCTGCGGGAACGGGCAGCGCTGCGCCACGGCGCGCCTGAGGGCGGAGGCGATAGTTAACGATATGATCCAATGAAATCAGAGTGAATAGAAGAGCAATAATTTTCGCGTACAAGAACTGGCCTCCCTGAGACAGGCCCACGGCGTGGTAGCCGTCCTTCAGGCGCTCGTCCTCGGCGATGGCCCTGCAAGCGGCATCCACTTGCTTGTTCGCGTCCTGAAAGAATCCACTCAGGGTGTCCTGGAAGAAAACAGATTGTGGCTCAGACAAAATCACGATGCCTCTAATTGAAGAGAAACAGAGAGACGCGGGAGTGAAGAGGAAGTCGTCACCTGTAGTACGTTGTCGCCGAAACACAGCAGTTTCACGTAGGCGTCTTCCCCGAGGTGGGATTCGAGTCGGGCCGCGAACTTGCCCATGCTGAAGTCGTTATAGCAGCTGTCACCTTTGGAAGGGCGAGGCGGAAAGTGTCAGGAATGTCTTGCGTGCATCTCCATGAGAAGCCATGGATGGTTTCGAACTTTAAAGTTCTATCGCCACTTTAAGATGTCCCCACAATGGACGCCACGTGAGGCGACGGTAATGGTAGCGCCTACTGCGTGATGGGTAGGCCTACCCGCCAAACAGCCGTGCGAAGACGGCGGCCCACCCTAAGCGCCCGAGTGGAACACTTGTCATGCCCAACATGCACTCGCGTCACCTCGGGGGAGGTCATTGTGGGGGAACTTTGAGGCACGTGTCCCAAAAAAAACTTGGGTCGGGCGCCTACAGAACATTTCTCTCTCTACCAAAGACACCAACCCATCCCGTGCCAGATGACGATGGGGACCTGCTTGGCTTGAGCCTGACCCAGAGCCAGGGCCAGGCCGGCGAGCAGCAGCAGCAGCATACGGTGGACGGCACCCATCTCAAGAAGGCGGCCGGCGAGCACTGACAGCAGCACGGCGGCGTACGTCGTGACTCTCGGGTGAGCTCTTCACCTCAAGTGATGCGGGCGTGATTAGATAAAGGTAAATAGGTGAACAGTTTCAAAAGACTGAGGAGTTCAATTTATTCGCAAAAAAGTTGATTGGGCATAGTCTACCGCAGTCGGCCACAATGAACTAGCACTGTGGCAGAGTGGAGGAGGCCACGGCCACGTAGGCCACTCCTTCAGCAAACGTGCCGATTGGGTTGCCTACTCGCAAGGCGAACACGCACAGACGAGAGCAGAGAGGATGTGATGGCACAGCCCAATACAAATCACAGAAGCAGCGGATTAAAATCGATTAAAGTAAACTATTGGTAAAAAAAATAATTATAACAGTAAAAAGAGAGAGCAGCATATTGATCA